AAAAAGACGGGGAATCTGAGAGGTGTGCAGGACAATTCCGTGATGTGTCAGACTGTCCTACCGTGACAGGGCATTGAGCACACCTATCCTGCCACCTGTCAGACACCAGGGGCCCCAGTCTGTGACCACAAACAACCTCGGCAGTGCTCGAAGTGTCCCCTAGGGGGCGGCAGCGCCCCGGGCCAGAACAACGCCTGGCACTCTCCCCGGCGCCCCGCTTTATCACAGCCCTGCCCTTGAGACTGTCCCCATCGTGGTGTGGAGATGTGCATCCCTTCAGACCCGTGGAATTCCACAGCATTGTGCTGTCACAAACCGGCTGCCGGAGAGGTGGAGGCCTTTCGCACATGCGGAGGCCGAGGGGCGGAGGAGTTCTGAGACGTGGCCTGCGGGTCACAGCGTTTGGGCAGTCGGAGTTTGGATAGCTGTGGCCAGAAACGGCCTTCCACGCGGGTAGGTAGTGAGAGAGCTGGTCCAGAGCTCCGGGAGTCAGCCTGGGGGGAGGGGGTGCCAACGCCAGAAAATCTTAACCAGGACCCTTCCCCTCTGGGGGTCACCTCCTCAGACCACACCCAGGGCCCCCCTAGTAAAGCCTCGGGTGTCCAGAAACGCCCCAACTCGGGCCATGGGCGAAGGGAAAGTAGGAAGGCCTTTCCCTAGACAGGCTGATCCTGGCTATGATATTATTTCTTTTCTTTAACCTTCAAAAAAAGACAGCTTCCTTCCTCTTCTGGTTCTATAAGCAATACAGGGTGGGGCAAAAGTAAGTTTACAGTAGTGAGTACAAGAAACAGAGTTTATTCTTATTTTTTAATATATTTTTATTGATTTCAGAGGGCAAGGGAGAGGGGGAGGGAGAGGGAGATAGAAACATCATTGCTGAGAGAGAATCATTGATCAGCTGCCGCCTGCACGCCCACACTGGGGATGGAGCCCGCAACCTGGGCACGTGCTCACGGCTGGATTCAAACCTGGGACCCCTCAGTCCGCAGGCCGACGCTCTGTCCACTGAGCCAAACCAGCTAGGGCGAGTTTATTCTTGTCTTACTTATTAATTTTTGTATTACTTTCCATAGGAACAACTTTTAAACCTACTTTTGCCACACCCTGTATGTCTGTATTTCGGAGGGGGAAATCCCTTTTCCCGCCAACTTTTTATTTTGAAAACCTTAAAAACTTCAGGAAAAGTGTGCAAGAATGGCACAGTAAGCGTCTACATACCCCTTCACCCTGACTTCCCAGTCCACATGTTGCTACATTGGCATTGTCCCGTGTGTGTTTTTCTGAGCCATTTGGGACTACGTTGCTGACATTCAGCCCTAAACTTTTCAATGTGCATTTCCTAAGAACAAGGATGCCCTCCTACAAAACCACAGCAAGGTGATAAGAAATTTAACATTGATAAAGTGATGTCTGCTCTACAGGCCTCATTCAATTTTCTCTAGTTGTCCCCGTGAGGTCTTCTATCACTCCTCCCCCTCCCTGACCTCAGGGTTCGATCAAAGACCAGACTTGCCATTTAGCTGTGAGCCTGGGTTTGGGTTTCTCCTCTTGGGCTCAGTGGTCCCCAAACCCTTGGCCCTGCCTCCAGGAAGGCAGCTGTCGGTGGAGACAGTGCCGGCCCTGAGCTCAGAGGTGTTGGTGGGATCTGTAGGAGGGAGCCCAGCCTTACTTCAGCCCCATAAATATTTTCCTGGGCCTTGAAGATGCCAGCTGGGGGGGATATTGCCCCTGCCCCAGGGCTGCCCTGGAAGATTCAGCCTCATAATAACTACCTTCTGTTTATGTTGCTTTCCCAGTGCTGGGCAAGGACTGGCCCATCAGTCCCCACTGGGACCCTTGGGGCTGGTACCATTTTCTCCCTTTTTACAGTTGAAAGGAGTTTCTGTTTTCCCATCTGATGAGGAAGCCAGTGATGGCCATGTGGGGCCACATGATAACTCCGGCAGGACCACGGGGTGTGACCTGTGGCCACGTCAGCCGGGACAGTGGCCGCCTCCTCCTCGGGGCTCTAGGCTTGCTCCTCTGGGCGGCAAGTCTAGCCAAGGCTCTAGAGCTTCATGGGCATCTCAAGGCTCCGGCTGCACCCTGCGGCCACCATGATCGTCCTTGGGAAATGCCCCCACTGCTGGTGATGCCTTCTAGAACTCCTCCCCTCCCTGAACTCAGGGCTCAATCAAAGGCGCGACTTGGCGTTTAGCTGTGAGCACGGGTTTGGATTTTTCCTCTTGGGCTCAGTAACCTCGCCCACCTGCCCAGACTACTGCCCCCGTGTGTGCTTTCGTCACACCAGTGATGCCCCAAGGTTTCTCGGGCTCGAAGCATTCACCTGTGCGGGAAGGCAGGGACGTGGTCTGCTCAGCTCTGGGCCCCCGACAGGGGCCGCAGAACTGTTGGTGGAGTCTTCACATGGCTTTTACAGACATGACTTTAGCCAAGAGTGTGTACGTTAGGCAGGACAGGGGACATCGTTTCTATTTTCAGATGAGGAAACTGAGACGCAGCAACAAATCTCAAAGGCATCCTATTGCAAGAAGAAACCCAGGCATGAAGTGCAAGTCCCTCATTCTACTTCGGGGGAGACAGGCCCAGAGGTCACTGGGTTTGACTCATGGCTCTGCTGCTTTGCAGCTGTGTGACCTTGAATCTGGGAAGGAAGGGGTATGAGGAGTGATAGCTATCTGTGCCTGCATTTGGAGGTAGAAGTAGCACCAGAAACAGAACCTGGTTGCTCTCAAGACCCTTTCCCAAGCTTTCCGTGCCGCAGGTTCTGGGAAGCAATCAATAATAATAAAAATAATAGTCGTTGAGTGCTTGCCGCCTGCCAGACAATGGTCTAAACATTTTACAGCCACTAATTCATTAAATCCTCACCTAGGACCTGTGAGGTAGGCGCATTATCATCCCCATCAGCTCGTTTTTGTAAATGGGGAGAGTAAGGCTTCCGGGCGTTCAGGCACTTGCCAGCGGTCACACAGCTGCTGCAGGAGGAAATTGGGGCCAGGTTCTTGCCTCCCAGGCGCTCTGATCTTGAAGCAGACAAGTGGTGCTGCCAGACACACGCTGTATTTCTTGGGGTTCTTGGGGCCCGAGGCCTGAGCAGATGAAACAGATGAGCGGGCACGGCGGGGATCAGAGCCCTGGGTTGAGAATGAGGTGGGGCGGGAGCTGCTCTGGACTCAGGCAGGCGGCGTTTGAATTCTGACTCTTTCCCTTGCTGGCTTTGGTGCGATTTGACCTCTGGGGGTCTCTGTTTTTTTCATTTGTAAAATGAGAAATTGCAGGAGAGCAACCTGGGTTCTGCTTCACACTAGACGAGAGTCATTACCCGAAAGAACCTCAGCTTCCTCCTCTGTGAAATGGGAGAGTAATCTCTGGGCTGGTGGGTGTGTAACTAACTGTTGGGGTAAATCGCAACTTTGAGGCTGTAAAGGACCTTAGTAGAAGATGCGTTTTCTCCGTTTTCTCCTGAACCAACAGTTTATGCAATGATTTTGTCTTATTTCAGACCTCAGTTTGGTTTGGGAAGGAGATGGAAAGGGCGCCCTCCCTCCGGCCCTTTATTTTATTTTCCCTTATTTATTTTATATTTTATTTATATATTCGTTTTCCTCCGGCCCTTTAGACGAGCGGCCACTTCACCCGCCACAGCTGGCCTTCTCCACGCCCCCGAAGTCGGCCTTCCAGGCAGTGGGAGATCGCGAAGCCTTTCGCAGGGAAAGCTCATGGTCGGCCCCTGGGGACCCACGTGCTCGCCTCGCCGGCGCCGGCTGGCTGCGCCGCTTCTAGGTCTCGACCCGACCATTGCTCGGAGGCAACTTACGTCAAAGTCACGGCCAACCCTTCTTAAAGGCACAGTCTCTCCCCAGGCTGCACAAGAGTTTTAAAGACGGGGCAGGTGGTGGAGTTGCCCGGGGAGAGAAACGTGTCTCCCTGACAAGTGGGATCAGAGACGGAGGAGTAAGATTTAGGCCCATCTGCCACCCCGCGAGGCAGGGTAGCCTGGCCGATTCCAATCCCGAGCTCTTCGAGCCTCAGTTTCACCAGCTGTAAAATGGGGTGAAAAATAACCTACTTCTAAAAGATTTGAGACTTATGCCCTCACCGGTTTGGCTCAATGGATGGAGCGTCGGCCTGCGGACTGAAGGGTCCCAGGTTCGATTCCGATCAAGGGCATGTACCTTGGTTGCGGGCACATCCCCAGTAGAGGGTGTGCAGGAGGCGGCTGGTCGATGTTTCTCATCAATGATTCTGACTCTCTATCCTTCTCCCTTCCTCTCTGTAAAAAATCAATAAAATATATTTAAAAAAATAAAAGATTTGAGATTTAGAAGATATAACCGTGTGAGAGTGACCAACACGAAAATGCCGGTCCTCTTCTGCCTTATGCGTCCTCTTCGTCCGAGGCCCGGAGCGGCGCTGAAATGCCCCGGGTCGCGCGGAAGTGGGACGGAGCCCAGGTTAAGCCAGGTTGACCCGGGCTCCCCGCTTCCGGACCCGCCTTTTCTCTGTCCAGCTTGCCAGCTCGTCTAACCCCACAAGCGCTCGGAACCCCCCAGTTTGTCGAATGGTTTTGGAGCCGAGTCTCAACCTGTCACATGGGGATGATGCTGGTTCCTGTCTGATGCGTCCGTCCCCGTGAAGCTGTGAAAACCCAGCCCGGCGGGCAAATGCTCGCCATCACTCTCCGATTGTCCGCGGCTTTGGAACTGATTCAAACCCCCTCCGCCCCCCGCCGCCACGCAGACTAAGCCCCTGGGGGGGGGGTGCATTCACGCTGTCAGGCGAGTTATTGAGGGTGTGGGGTTCCGGGTGCAGCGCTCGGCCAGGACTAGCTGTGGGGAGTGGGGGGGGGGTGGTGAGAATACGCTGTCGATGCGGTGCAGCCGGCAGGGTACTAGCTGCTCCCGGCACAGGGCTCCGCTGGTTCCCGGGAGGCCTCGGGGGGCGGGGCCGCGCACTCCGGGCGCGCAGCCGGTCGGCCCGTGGAGGCGGGGCCTCGCGGCGGGTCCGGGGGCGGGGCGGGCTCGGCTCGGCGGCCTGCCTCGTCGGCCTCGGAGCGAGGCGAACGCGCGCGGACCCCGCACCGGTCGCGGACCCGCCATGGGCCCGCCCGACCCCGGGCTCCGCGCTGCGCGAGTACCATCCTAAAGCCAGGTGGGCGGGGCGGGGCGGGGCGGGGCCGGGACCGGGGGCCCGGCCAGGGGCGGGGGACGGAGAGGCGTCTCGGGGGGTCCCCAGGAGCCTGAGCCGCGGCTGGGCTGGGGGCGCGGCGTCGCGGGCCGTTGCGGCGGCCACGTTGGCTCCACCGGGACCGGGAGTGCCGCCGAGGGGCGAGCACAGACCCCGCCTCCCCGTTCCTACGTCTCGCGCTCTCGGTCGCGTCCCCCGGCCTGTGATTTTGGGGGAAAAGAGCCGAGAGATTGTCCTCATCCTCGCCCCGAGCCGAGCCCTTCCGGCCGGGGACGGGGTGCGGGGAAGGCTGGGCGCCCCGCCTGCCGCCCGGAGAGAGCGGGGGCTCGCACTTGCCCTTCACCGCCGCCCCTCCCCCCCCCACGCTCGGTGGCTCGTGGCTGGCAGGTGCCGGCGGGGCTGTAACAGGGGCGCCGGGCGGGGGGGACCCCGGGGCCAAACCGGACGCCCTGGCGGGGCGGCGCACAGTCGGCCTGCGCGGGAGGCTGGGTGAGCACCTGGCAGGGGCCGCTGCTGCCCATGAACTGACCGGTGACCAGCCCGGTGTCCTCATGGCTCCCCGAGTGACCTTGGGCGGTCGCCTCCCCTCCCCGAGCCTCAGTCTGCCCGTGGGCCGGGCGGGGGGACAGGGACGGCTGTGAAAGGCGCTCCCCGCAGTGAGAGAGTCAAGTCGGCGAGCGCCCGGCCTCGGTCCTCTCGGCCTCTGGTTGCCGGTGGGTGAGCTGGAGCTCCCGGAGCTTTGTTTTGCAGAATTGAAGCTACAAGATGGCTGATCGGGACCCAGGGGGCATCAGCCCCCTCCAGCAGATGGTGGCCTCAGGCGCCGGGGCCGTGGTCACCTCCATCTTCAGTAAGACCCCCCGGGGAGGTGGGGGGCGGGGGGAGGGGGCAGCGGGGGAGGGGAGAGGGGCAGAGCCTGGATGAGGTGTCCGGAGTGGCGCCTGGAAAGGAGTGTTCAGACCCGCCCTCTCCCCTAGTGACCCCCCTGGACGTGGTGAAGGTCCGCCTGCAGTCTCAGCGGCCCTCGGTGACCAGCGGTGAGTGTCCAGCCCTGGAACCGGGAGGGGGCGGTGCCTGCGCACAAGGATCTCCTAGAGGTGGGGTCCCTGGGGGAGGAGGGGGTCTCCTGACTTGAGGGGCCGCCTTGTGTTTTAGATGCGATGCCTCCCGCCAGGCTCTGGAGCCTCTCTTACACCAAATGTGAGTGCCTCTGGCCACGGGGAGCCGGAGGGTCCGGGGAGGGAGTGCCCCAGCTTCCCTGGGGCCCCTGAGCCTGGCAGCCATGGGCTAGCACGGGCCTCCAGGTCCTACCAGCCACCCTCTGCCCTGCACAAGAACACCCCCCTGCGGACCCAGCCTCTGCTGGCCCTCCCCGCAGGCTCCAGGGCCATGGCGCTCAGTGTCCCTCCCCTCCCCCAGTGCCCCCCTCTCTCCGACCCACAGGGAAGTGCCTCCTCTACTGCAATGGTGTCCTGGAACCCCTGTACCTGTGCCCAAACGGTGCCCGCTGTGCCACCTGGTTTCAGGACCCCACTCGCTTCACCGGCACCATGGTGAGGAGCAGCTGTGCCCGCAGCCGGGTCTGTCAGAATTCCCGAGGGATAGATGGCTGGGCAGCAGGCCCAGGAAGGAAGGAACACAGCAAACATGTGGCAGCCCGTTCGGTTGGGGAAAGGCTCCCCTGAGGAGGTAGTGCCCTCCATGTGGCTTTGAAGGGTGAGCAGCAGTCCACCTGGAGCCAAATGGGGACTTGCCTGAGGGCTGAGGGCTGCCGCCTGCCAGCAGGACCCAGGGCTGTGGGCAGAGGCGAGGGCATCGGGTGAGGGCCCGGCCTGGGCCAGCCCCTTCACAGGCCTTTTTCTTGTTCGTCCTTCCCGTTCGGGGCTGATGTCCTTATGGCCAGGATGCCTTTGTGAAGATTGTGAGACACGAGGGCACCAGGACCCTGTGGAGTGGCCTCCCAGCCACCCTGTGAGTACCCGTCCTGCATGCTGTCTTCCCTTATGCCCTGCTGATCTCTTGCCCCCCTGTAGGCTGGCTGGCTGGGGCAGGGAAGTCCGGGGGCGCTGGAAGTCCCAGCTAACATCTCTTCACACCCCCAGGGTGATGACTGTGCCAGCAACCGCCATCTACTTCACGGCCTATGACCAACTCAAGGCCTTCCTGTGTGGTCGAGCCCTGACCTCTGACTTCTGTGCACCCATGGTGGCTGGTGCATTGGCCCGCTGTGAGCACAGCCCTGGGCCCTTGATCTCCCTTTGGCCCCAGCTCTGCCTGAGCTCAGTCCTAGCTCCCAGCTTCACTCTCTGCCCACTTAGGGGTGGGGAGATGTCTTGGGCTCCCAGACCCTGGGGCAAACTGCCATTAGGACCTGTGAGCTGATACCTCCCTGTTGTTCCCCACAGTGGGCACTGTGACTGTGATAAGCCCCCTAGAGCTGGTACGGACAAAGCTGCAGGCTCAGCATGTGTCATACCGGGAGTTGGGTGCCTGTGTCCGAACCTCCGTAGCTCAGGGCGGCTGGCGCTCACTCTGGCTGGGCTGGGGCCCCACTGCTCTTCGGGATGTGCCCTTTTCAGGTAGGCACCAGGGGGCAGGGGATATGGGGTAAGGGAGCCCTTGGATGGTGCACAAGAGGTCTACAGCCCAGTCCCAACTTTGATATTACTGACCTTGAAGTCACTGAACTCCTCTGAGCCCTATCGCATCTGTGAAATGGGCTCAGTACGCAGGGTATTTGCCCAGGTTTTCACGCGATAATTCCTGCAGAGAACCTGTTAAGAAACTAGTGTAGCAAACAGGCCTCTTAACTGGGAGGGAGTGGTTGTCCTGGTATAGGTCAGTGGAAGAGGGTGGTATGGGGCCCACCCTTTGGCCTTCCCCATCTCTAATGAGTGTATCCTGTGCCCCCAAGCCCTGTATTGGTTCAACTATGAGCTGGTAAAGAGCTGGCTGAGTGGGCACAGGCCAAAGGACCAGACATCGGTGGGCATCAGCTTTGTGGCTGGTGGCATCTCAGGAACGGTGAGTTGACTGGGCTGGGGGTGAGGCTGGCAGAGGTGTCCTTGCATGGCAGTGCAGTAGCTGCCTGTTGAGAGGCAAGCTCACCTTCCCTGGTGATAAGGCTGGCAGACTCAGGCTGGGTGCAAGGGATGGGGGTCCTGGGAATGGAGATGAACCCTCCCCTCCCCACCAGGTGGCTGCCATCCTGACTCTACCCTTTGATGTGGTGAAGACTCAACGCCAGGTTGCGCTGGGAGCCGTGGAAGCTGTGAGAGGTGAGGGGTTTGGCTGGCGTGGTGTGGGGGCAGGTGGGGGTCCACGTGAGGTCTTACTGGGTCATGCCTGTGTCTGCAGTGTCACCTGTGCACGCCGACTCCACCTGGCTGCTGCTGCGGAGGATCCGGGCCGAGTCCGGCACCAGGGGACTCTTTGCAGGTGAGTGTCTGTGTCCAGGCCCTGGTGAGGTTGGGGTCCTCTGGGACCCAGCCTCTGACCCCAGCCTTGCCCTCCCACTGCAGGCTTCCTCCCAAGGATCATCAAGGCTGCCCCCTCCTGTGCCATCATGATCAGCACATATGAGTTGGGCAAAAGCTTCTTTCAGAGGCTCAACCTGGAACAGCCGCTGAGCCAGTGAGAGGAGCGCGGGGACGAGGGCCCCATCTCTCCCGTGGATGGCGTGGGGCAGGAGGAGTCTGAGCCAAGTGCCTTGTCCTCAGGGGAGGGGCCTCATTTTCCCCTCCCCGCTCAGCCCCAAGGGTACCAGCCCCTCTGTCGGGCCTGCCCAGGCCCCCATCAGACAGCTTTCTTCCTGCTGGTCCTCATCCCAAGCCCCAAGGATCATCACTTTTCCACCCAACCCCCCAAGTTCAAGACCAAATCTGTTAACTCTCTCCTCCCCCTGCCCTCTTGCCCATTTTCCTGTGTTCGTTGTAGCTGGGCCTGCCCCCCAAGGCCCACAGAACCCTGGACCTGGCCAGTCTGAACCTACTGCTGTTAATTCATTGAGTGTAAAGATGATGAATTTTTCTCCTGTGTCTGTGACTACAGGGGCAGGGGACACTGGGGTTGGGGGAAGCAGGACTTGGTGTGTGATTTGTCTAAAGGAGTTTGGAGGGATCTTGGTGGGTATAGGCTTTGGCTGCCTGGGTGATGCTCATGTAAAGGACCCCCCAGTTTAGTGAGGACCCAGAGTTGGGGGGGTGGGGTCAACAGTAACATTGATAGTGTTAGGGCCAGGGTAGAGGATGGTGAGGCATCTCCCCAAGGGCACACTTGAGTATGACAGGAGGGAGGGTTCTTCACTGCCAGGCTTTGGCCTAACGGGAGGGTCTGTAACTTTGGGCCAAAGCTGAATTGTGCAGGATGATGGAGGAGGGCCCCCCCAGGCCTTGCCTCCACACCCCGCCCCCCCCCCCCCCCCCCGTTCAGTCTCTTCTGCCTGGAGTTGAGCAAGTTCTTAGAGTGTCAGGTTGAAGGGGTATTTACGTGTCTTGGTCCTGCTCTGGGTGGACTAGTACTCAGGACGCTTCATACAGAAGTCACCCACTCCGGAACCATCCTGACCCGCCTGCTCCCCAGGGCGCACTCTGATTCTGTGGTGCAGCATCTTGTTGGTTGTGGGCTCAGCACTGGTTCTGCCGTATCCTGCCAACCTCAGGACAGGGTCCTGTCCCAGCCCCCACAAACAAGGCTTCCCTCAGTCCTCTGGTTTTTATTTGCCTGGTCCCCTCAGAGCCCCTGCACTGGGGGCTGAGGAAGAAGTGACTCCAGGGAATGAATACAGGACAGACAGGAGAGGTGGGGGAGATGAAGGTGCTGAGGCTGGGCCACCAGCTCCTGAGGAGGGTGGGGAAGATGGGGAAGAGTCCCAGGCGGGAGCAGCCAGGCATCACAGTCACCAGAAGCGTGGAGCAAGCTTTCCCAAGGACTTTGTGGCCTTGGCGACCCCACCTTCCTACCCACCAGGCTTCCCTTGGTAACCCTGCTTCCTTGGGCAGGAAGCTAAAACCAGAAGCAAAAGGTTTTGTTGCCAAGAGACACCTGGCTGGGTGGGCAGCGGTCTCTGGCAGGCGGCCTGGATGGGGGGGGACTCTGAGGAAAGGTGGCAGGTGGCTATGCCCTGGCAGGTGGGGCTGGCACAACCCACACTGTTCAGCTGGGGCTCAGTGCTGGGCTGCCCTCAGGACTGTCGCTCACCAGGCACTCGTTGGATTTGAAGCTCGCCAGGGACTTGCAGCTGGGGATGGAGGCCAGGGAGCCGCAGAGGCCCAGCATGGAGGGCGTGGGGTCCTTCCCTGGGGAGAGAGGGTGGGTGAGGCCAGGCCAACCCGTCTGCCTGGGTCGGACCTTGGGATCAGACTACCCCCCACCGGGAGACGCCTCATTTCCGCAGCATTTGCCATCTCCGGTAACCTGGTGGAGCACCTGCCTGTGCCACGCACAGCACAGGGAACACTCTTGTAATCGTCAGTGTGTGTTTCTGTCTCCCCGAGGTTCTCCCTCTCTCCGTCCGTTTATTAAACACATAGTGAGCACTTGTTCTGTTCCAAGCACTGGGGGTACAGAGAACGGACTAGACACAGTCCCTGCCCTCAAGGAGCTCACAGTCTGGTGGGGAGACTGACACGGACAATCACAAACAGTGTGGCAGGGTCATGTTCACAGCCTGCCTTGTCTCGAGATCTAGGGTCATCCAGTCCAGTGGTTTTTAGAAAAGACATGACCTCCAGGCACCGGGAAAACTAGGGCGGGAAACCAAGATGAGGCCACGGGGAGGGCAACACAAAATGCATGCGTTGAAGTCCTGGGCATTCGCGTGAAGGGAGCCACTAATTTGGCTCAGAGCTTCCTGGCAGCCGAAGAAAGAGGGGGAAACAAGGGTCAGGCACGTGGTTCACAGAGCGCATGAAATATGAGCAAATTAGGCAAAGAACTCCCCGACCATTGGAACCCCTTGAGGAAGTCATGACAAAAAGCCACTAGGCCCTCACCACCTGCCAAAACGATCACTGGTCAGCATCCCCACTTTCGGATGAGAAGGCTCAGCGGTGTGAATACTGACCAAGCTCCACCAGAGGAGGCGCAGCTGGGGTGTGCACTAGGGGCTGCCCTACACCCCAAACCAAGCTCTTAATTGCTGTGCTAACCTCTCTGGAAGGGCTGAGTTAAAGGGAATTGACCAGGGCCTGACTACAAGCCCCAAGGCCAGAGCCCTTCCTGGAGGCATGCTGGGTGCTGCATGGGGGGCTCACCGATGGGGCCCCAGGGCTCCTCATCCTGTTTGCCCTCTCCCAGGCGCTGGGAGTCCGAGCTCAGACTGGCTTCAGCTGACAGCCGCTCCGTGCTCATGAAACTGTGTCTGTGACAGAGCAGAGAGCTGGTGTCTGGGCAGAGGCTTACCGCCCCCCAGGCCCCTCTCCCCTCAGAGGGCCCAGCACTCAGGCCCACGCGGAGCCCAGCTGTGCTTACCTCCGGTACAGCTTGGGGTTGCTGACACCCTCAGCCCCATTGAGCGTTCCCAGTGATGGCCATTGGTTGACCAGGGGCGTGGTGAGCTCCTTGGAACCCTGGGCTAGGGGAGCGTGGTCGCCAGGGATCAGACCTGTCCTGGGATGGGGAGGTGGGGGTCAGGCTGGCTGGGAGAGGGGACAGAAGTAGGGAAGGGAGTCTCAGCAGGGGGGAGGGGTTAGGGTTGAAACCTGGGTAGCAGAAATGGGGACAGAATGTTGAGGATCAGTGGGGCAGATTCTAGAAGCCAGTGGAGAGTACTGGGGGTCAGAGAGGTGACAGGGATTGGTGCCCTCAGGTTGGGGCCAGAGGGAGTAAAGGGTGTTGTGGGAGTCGGAGGAGACTAGTGTAGGAATTCTGAAATGTAACTAGTGGGGGTGGGGGCTTGGGGAATCATGCCGGGAGGTCATAGGATGATGAAAAGGTTTAGTGGGTAAATGTCAGGGGTGGGTAGGAGTGAGGTCAGGGGTCACCGTGGGTGAGGACAGTCAGTGGGGTATGTAGCACATCAGAGGGAATAATTCAATGACATTCAAGGTCGCTGGGTAACAGGTCCTTGTGAGTAATGGGTAATGTTGGGGCCCCTGAAATAATGTTGGGTGGATGGCCCTTCTAGCTGATGTCGGGTAATTGAGATGAAGTGGGGAACGGGTTTTTGGAAGGGTCCCAGGATCTTAGTTGAGGATAACGCAGAAGGTTCCTGGGGAGACTTCAGGATAGAGGATGGGTCAGTGGTTTGATGCTGGTGGTTGGTTGAGTTGGATGCAGGTATCAGGACAGGTGAGGTTGGAGTCAGTGGGGGTGATGGGGGTTCCCTGGGGTGATGTGATGGGGGGGCGGGTCAAGGGTCAGGGCGGCGACGCTCACAGCTGCTCCTGCAGCTCCAGGATCACGCCTTCCAGCTCCCGCTTCTCGCGTTGGTTCTGCGCCGCCGCCTCCTCCAGCTGCAGCTGCAGCCGCCGGTTCTCCGCCTCCAGGTCCTTCAGCTGCGACTCGCGCAGACGCACCAGCTCCTCCAGGTAGCCCTGCGGGGCGCCGGTGAGGGTGAGCCCGCCGTCGGAGAGGAGGGTCCCCGGCACCGCCAGGCCCGCCCCCCCTCCCCTGCCCCCAGCGGCCGGCCACCCGCGCCGCGCACACCTTCTGCGCGTAGACGATGCGAAACTTCTGCTCCATCTTGTGCCACTTGCTGTACCAGCTGTCCTCGTCGGTGACGAGCGGCAGGTACGGGTGCTCGGGAGAGTTGTCCTCGCTGGTGCTGCTCTCGGCGCTGTGCCGCTCCTCCTCGTCGGTCAGGTAGTCGTAGCTGGCGGGAGGAGCAGGGGGCACCGCAGGCTCGCCCGCCCCTGCATCCCGCGCTGCCCCCAGCCAGCCCCCCGCCCCCGGCCCGTCCCTCCGCCCGGCATCTGCCCGGACCCAGCGCCGCCATCCCGCTCCGCACCTCTGGGTGAACTTCAGGTAGGGCGTGTAGTCGATGACCACGGGGGTCTTCCCATCCAGCACTTCACCCTTCAGGCAGAAGCTGGGAACAGAGCCCACGGGGATGGGGTGGGTATGAGGGTTGGGGGTGTGTACGTTCGTGAGTGGGGACACCCCTCCACAGCCACCACGCTGGCCCCGACACTGAGGCCCCACCTGAAGTCTATGGCGCTCAGCCCTATCAGCATCCCCGTGAGGACCGTGGCTTCCTCCCTCAGCATGATGGCTCCTGAGTCATAGAAACGCCTGTGGGGAGTGGTGGGGGTGGAGGGACTTAGGGTGCAGCACGCTCCCTGGAGCCCGCGTCCCTCGGGATCTCTCTGGTTGGTTTACCACAAACCTTTCTTAGAGGAAGGAGGTATCTGCTTCCTGCTCATCCCTCAGGTGTGGGTCTTGGTCTCCCTCAGACTGGGGCCCCCTGGGAATAGCACCTGTGTCTCCCACCTATTAGAACGTGTGTCCCCTGAGAACAGACTCTCCTCAGTCTTCTGAACTACCCGTTTCCCACCAAGTACTGAGTCACCCCGATCCTTAAAGTCAGGAAACACACCATTCCCCACTGGCACATGTCGCCTGAGGTCCTGCCCCTGCCCTGGGGCCCAGTGCAGAGAATGAAGCTCCGCGAGCTGGGACTCTGCAGTCCCAACAGGCAGGGCTGCTGTAGGACACGGAACAAGGCCAACAAGTGAAACGATACATGGTTGAGACTTGTCCCGATGTGTGTCTGAAGGTAGAGACGTGTGAGTCTGGTGCTGGGAAGTGATGGGGATAATGAATTTTATTTGGAAGAGGTGATGATGGTGCCAAAGGTGTGTATCCTGACTGCAGACCAGGCTGACCTGTGGACAGACTGGGAGAGAGGGAAACGTAGGTGCATGCTGGGAGTTGTAGTGCAGCGAGGAAAGGTTGCTGCAGGAAGTTAAGGATCAAGTGTGTTTAGAAAATGGACATGCACACTGGGACCTGTGGTCTGAGCTGCCTGAGAGGGTCTGACCTGGTGGTCCGGGTGTCCCGCAGGGCTGTGGTGATGTATT